CAGAAACATCAATCCTAAATGACACACTAGATCAGACGGAATAAATTGACATCTTCAGAACATTTCATCCCAAAGACACAGAATATACATTCTTCTCAAGTGCACATGGGTCATTTTCAAAGATAGACCATGTGTTGGGGCACAGGCGAAGTCTCTTCAAATTCAAGAAGATAGAAACCATATCAAGGATCTTCTCAGATCACATGTGGCTCTTTGGCCCCTTGAATGTGGCTCTTCCACAAAATACTATGACCTGGGCGAGTCTATTTTGAAGAAGTGGCATTATAAGTAGTTTAAGTTTAAGAAATTTGGCTCTCAAAAGAAATTTCAATCATTGTACTGTTTATATTTGGCTCTGTTGACTAATGAGTTTGCCGACCACTGTCCTAGAGAATCAAGAAATCACCCAAATGACCAGAGTTTGATGGATGAAGTCAAAGCTCAACTACAAAACCACAGAGATATTTTCTGACAATTACAGCAAATTAAAGTAGGTCCAAGGCAGACAGAAACGGACACTGATCTATTTTTCTTGCAAGATAAAAAATAAGCCAAGCAATCCCAAAATGTGCATATCTGCAGTAAACAGAGATCAGCTTTCCTCCACAGTAGCTCCTTTAATCCTGACTTCTTTATGTAATAGTTCAAAGGTACCAACATTCACCAAAGTGTAACACCTCAAGGTACCATTAACCCTTCCAGGTCTCTCTTCTTCCGGTCATCAAGCTCTATCTTCTATTTCTTTTTTTTAAAATGACATCTTTGATATTTTTCTCTTTTGTTTCCCATTGGAACCCTGTTGGTACAAACTGCTATCTTTTTTAGGCCTGGAAACAGAATAGCTTTCTAACTTGTTTTATTATTCTCCCTGTCAATAATTCCTGCAGGTTATTGATGAATTATTCTGCTTAAAATGATGGTTTTATGAAATCATTGCTTTGCTCAGTTTTTCCTGTCTCTTTCCCCCTATTTCCTAACCTAAAGCATCAACTCCAGCCAAACTGTACATGCTTGGCTCGGAGCAGTCCATGCCTTTGTTTATGTGGTTCCCCCTCAAAGAATTCTCTCCTTGCTCTCTGCCTATTTATATTCTATTCACGCTGAAAGCCCCAGATTAATACTGGGAAGCCTTTACTTTCTTTCTTTTATTATTTATTCTACTCATCTCGTTCCCCATCAAATACGACTCCTTGTTACTGTTCTTGACTTACTGCTTTCGGTTAAGTGTTCATGGACTTATGTGTGATTATGGGTGAGAGGTGGCAAAGATTTCAGATACCGTATTAATGCCCATTGTTTGACATTGGCTGCTACAGAGCTCTATTGAGTTCAAAATCAGTGACAAACGTCTGCCCTGGGAAAGTGTAAGTAGAGAAATTGTAAATTTTAGCTGGTGTGCTCATCCACGCTTTATCCACGCTACTTAAAGCTTCTGAGGCGTTCTTGTTTTAAAAGTGAGGGCTTGGGATCAGATAATCTGTACATTCTTTCCAATTAAAACACTGTTCAGTGAAACAATGGGGTGAAAAGCTGTGGCAGGCTACGAAGGAAGCAGATACACGAAAGGAAGTGGGAACATGAAAATAACTATGAAAACAAGAGAGAAATAAACAGAAAGAAGTGGGATGCTTAGGTCAAATGCTCTTTTAAAAAACTGTAACCTAAGCACACTAAAGGGGAAAAGAAAAGTATTTTTCCTTGCTTATTTTATTACAGGTTTTTTCCTCATACTGTGCTTATATTCTTAGGCTTTGGCAATTAAATATGACTATATCTAACCTTAAAATAACTCACTTTCAGGATAAATGTTTTATGTACAGAGAAAGGTCTCTTTCTGCAATTATTACTAAAGCAAGCATGAAACAAAAATGCAGAAAAACAAAGCCAAATAAAGTTGAGCAACATGGGTCTGACCAGCGCAGGTCCATTTATACATGGACTTTTCCCAATAAACATATGGAAACTTTTTTTTGAGATTTCCTTACTCCTATGAAGCAATCATAATATTACCCTATGCTACCATATAGCGATTACATTGCTGCTTCCCCATTATCAATGCATGAATTGTTATACCTGTACATAAGTATGAATTTCTGTTTCACAATATCTTTTCATTTTTGATGTCTAGTGTTAGTGCTATAACATCTTCAGTGTTTTGTATCATGTAAGATAATACTGATGTAGGACTGACACTCTAGCTTATAAACAGATGACAAACTTACAGTATCAATAAATACAGCAGAGTACTGTATGTGTATTTTTTCTCTTACGATTTTCTTAACAATTTTTTCTTCTTATCAGCTTACTTTATTTAAGAATACAGTATACAATGCCCATAAAATCCAGCAGATATGTTAACTGACTGTTTATGTTGTTGTTAAGGCTTCTAGTCAACAGTAGGCTATTAGTAGTTAAATTTTTAGGGAGTTAAAAGTTATATGCAGATTTTCAACTGTGCAAGCGGTCAGCACCCCTATCCCTGCCTTGTTCAAAGATCAACTGTACTTCAAAATGTAGCCACCTCCTTCTGCAGATCCTTTCTTCCCAACTATCCTTTCACGTCGGGGTTGTAGGTAAAGGCAATGGGAGGTAGCTGATTTCTTGATCACCCTGTCTTGGCTCTTAATGCAGTTCCAGAGCCAGTGAGAGCTGCTGGCAGGAGCAGCTGGCAGTGAGATGGACAAGACGAGAGGGGAGAAAGCCCCTTTTCTTCCTTCACCCTACTTGGGCCACCTCTGCTGTCCTCCGGGTGAAGGAAGACGAGAAGGAAATGATGAGGTTTTTTAGATATGAGTATTGCCTGCCTACACTATGCTTGGGTCTATGGTAAACATACTTTCTTACATTTTAATGACAGGACAGAAGCTAGCTCTTCTTTTACAGCCTTCCATTTAAGCTGGGACCCCCAGACTCAAGGTCTAGCTGAACCACTTGCAGTTCATGTGTTTTTTCCAGGCTGGCAAGAATACTTTCCTAGAACTTCCCTGGGGCTGAATCTACTACCACAATCCTAAAAGACCTAAAAATATTGTCTTGTCTTTTCATTTACTATATCCTTCTTTCTACTCATTCGCCTTATTTTTAGATCATTTCCATGCAGATATGAAAGTGGCTATTGACATGATACATCTGAATTTATTCTATGATAAATACAATAAACATACTGTACAATAAAAGCAATCTTCCCAAGACATCTGCTTTCCCTTCTCTTTAACATTCTATTCAAATCACGGGAAAATACATCATGTACACTAATTTCCAATAGTCCGTTTGTGGTCTTATTTGGAATTTAAACATTTCCTGTTATGGGTGTCAAATAGAAAATCTTGTTCTCAATCCACCTACTCCATCCTTTTGACTATTCATCCTTTTAACTATGAAACAAAACATGTAGATGATATTTTTCTACTGGTACCAAGAGTCTAAACAGATTAGCAGGAAGGAACATGTTATAGAAACTGGGAGGGAAAAAGTAGTTTAATGGAACCTGTTGGATCTCACTAAGTGAAAATATATCTTTCATTCAGATTTATCTGGAAATCTAACTTGTTTTTCAACAAAGTAATCAAAGTGCCCGTCTCTGAATGAGAAGTAACAGGACTGTACAGGGTCCTAGTGGCCTTGCAGTTGCAAAGAGAGAAGCACATAGCAACTCAGCCTCTTTGGGAAAGGGTCACACTCATCCAACAAACAGGGGTGGAAGCCAAGCCTGTGCCTGCGACCAGAGGCTCCTTCCTGGAGGCGTCTACTACCTCAGGGAAAGGCCCACGTTTAAAAACCTCATGAAGGCACAACCCCTGAGGCCACACATGTGCCTGAATATCTACGAAGGGCAGAATTTTAAAAAACGTGATCACTCTGATCACTGGTAATAGCTCTTTATGCTTCTTC